ACACACAAACACACACACACACACACACACACGCACACACGCTTGCTTCTCCCTTCTTCCCTCCCCGCCGGTCTCCTCTACTGTCGGATGCTGGAGTGGTGAACAGCAAGACTCTCTTGGTTGAGCCGCATGGAGGCACAGGGAGGGGCTCCCAGCCCAGGTAAGAACACAATTCTGCTTCTTCTTTACAATGATTTTAGCGCTTTTTTTGTTCATTTTGAAATATAACATGTGCTAATACACACACACACACACACACACACACACACTTGCTTCTCCCTTCTTCCCTCCCCGCCGGTCTCCTCTACTGTCGGATGCTGGAGTGGTGAACAGCAAGACTCTCTTGGTTGAGCCGCATGGAGGCACAGGGAGGGGCTCCCAGCCCAGGTAAGAACACAATTCTGCTTCTTCTTTACAATGATTTTAGCGCTTTTTTTGTTCATTTTGAAATATAACATGTGCTAATAGTCATTCTACACAAAGACAGCACAACGCTGGATCCTCCTTTTACAAAGAGTTAGTTCACATGCGGGGCAACACAGAGCCAACACACTGTGTTCATTGTCTCTATCATGCCGTGGAGGTTCCACTCTGAAGTTGCAAGCTCATTGCCGAATTAGAGGGCCTCTTTCACGCTTACACACCATAGGTCAACCATGCAGAAAGAGAACTGATGAGAGACAAATTGCTGCCAACAATAGTTGATGCATTGTGTGAAGGCCATCCAGGGACGCCCGTTGTAGGGAAGCCTCACACAATACCCCCGTGCTGCATTGCATTGATGAGGGTGTGTAAAATATAGTCACCCTAACTTTCATGCTAACGTCAGATAGTTTGGTGGTGGTGGTATTTGAAACACAGTGGATCTAAAAAAAAAATCTCCCAACTTCTGTTGAAATACTAGGATTTTGTGATGCATATGAGACCAAGATACATTATTTTGAATCATTTCCCACCATTAATGTGACCTATAACCTGAACATCACAATTGAATGAATAAATTAAAAATAATTTTGGAGAGGATAAGTAAAACAATGAAATAATGTGTGCACATTATAACCAGGATGTGGCTGTGTTCCGAATGAACCAATCACATTCAAATTCATGTTAAACTGGAATCAGCTCACACCTACCACATTGTCCCATGAAGACCGAATAAACTTCAGCTGTTCTATTCGGCTCTTCCTGACTTTTTTTGCTTTTTGCTGTCTAGCGGAAGTCTTTTTTTTTCTTTTGAGTATGAGCCTGATTTTGTGCTGTGTAAAGTTTTCGTCCGATCACTACTACTTTGAATTGTGTGTCAGCATAAAACATTGAGGCTTCTGCTACAAACCCAGAAAAGCCAAAAATAGCTGAAATGAATTTTGAGTTAATCAGAAGCACTTATAATGATGGCACTGTGGCAGGTGAGAGCTGACTCCCATTTAACATGTGTGTGAATGTGGTCGGTTCATTGTCAACGTAGCCAGGTCCCAGTTGGGTGTGCCCACTTGTACAATCTCCTAACAGTTGTTTATTTTAACTTCCCCTCTTGAAGAAAAAACATGTATTGTGTTGTACAACTCATAAGCTCATGAATGGTAGAAAATGTTTTGGAATGATTTATTTTGGTCTTATTTATTCCCAAAATTTGTTTTTGAATTGGGGTGTGCAGACTCTTATACCTATTGTGAGGATAAGCGGTCCAGATAATGGATGGATAGATGCATCCGGTAGACAAAAAGGTGATTTGGCTGCATAACTAGCTTCAAAACTAGAGTCTTTATCAAAGTGTCAGTATGTGCTTTGACTTTGGACGATATTTGCACAAAACAAGTGCGAGCTGCATTTTCAGCATCTGTTGAAATCAGCCGGCCAAGACAACCTTCTACTTATTATTTACATTCATATTGGTACTTGATGATGAAATGTTATTCATTTATGTAGATTAAATTCAATAAGACCCCCAAAAAAAATCAGTCATCCCAACAGCGAGCCACAAGCAGTTCAGTTGTGACAGCAGTATAGTACACACAGCTACAGTTCACTTACAGGCCAATTCATTAGGTACACCTGCTTATCTTTTGAGACCCAGTATAAGAGTTGCATCATATGAATTTCCCTGCGCAAAGATAACATGATATTGTTATATCATGTTATTGTTGAGGGAGTCTGATTTGCAGAAAAATACGTGAAGCACCTTTTAGGATGGTGGAGTGCAGTTGTTATTACAATGCTCAGGCGTACCTAAAGAATTATCCAATGAGTGTCGAGATCAAATTGACTGCTCATTGCTTTGAAATCGTTCATTAAATTTATTAACTAAAGCACACTACTCGTGGTCAATGTAAATTGATTCATGGTTGGGAGACACTTGGCTGAAGTTTTGGCAAGCATACAGCACATCATTCTCCTTGCCTTCTTCATTTTCCCGTCCCTCACCATCTGTCACTCCGAATCACAGAAAAGAATGTCTTGACAACAGACATGAGTGACCAAAGCCCAGGATGAAGTTGTTTTCCCTCACTCGAAAAGCAGATTCAGCAGGTGTTGTGATGTCAGCTTGCTAGTACTCTATATATATTAGTATATTCTATATCCGAGATGTCCACCTCAAGGTCCCTGTACTAATATGCTCTTTGTCCTTACCATTAGGGAAAAAATCCCTTCTAGTAGGCAGAGGTGTGCGTCTCTCCAATTAAAGATGATTTGATACGTATCTTGATAGATCACCACGTGCCAAGTATGTTTATAAGGAACTGCATGATGATCTCAATTTGGGATCATCACGCTCACCTTCCACCCAAAACCAAAAATGAAAATGCACCAGCCAGTTTTTGGGCTGACTACACATGCACCTGTCTCCGAAAATTGGGCCCCGTATGTTCATAACAACCGCCAAAGCCAGATGCTCTTGCCAGCTGCAGTCGCTTTCAGTGTCAGCCTGAGATGCAACAGATTTGAGTGACACGAGTGATGCTCTTCATCATGAAGATTTGAGTATTAACCCCTCTCATGCACCAATAATGATAACCTGTAACCTGATAAGCTGTCCACTGTCGTAATCGCTGTCCCTGAAAGGGTTAAAGTACCGTGAAAAATATATTTCCATCCCAGCAGAATTACGGTCGGTTAGAATCCTGGTTGATGCGACTCCTCCTTGGAGTGTGTTAGAGGAATCTAGAAATCTCTGACAGAGTGCCATCACTTGAAGATAAACTGAAGACAGAAATCAAATCCAATTTGTGGTCTCAATATTGAGGAACCATTTCAATCGAACAGACGTCATGATATGGTTGGCCCTCTCAGGGGGAAACTAATCAATAATTTCAACAAGTGCTGAGAATGCATCGTGTTCTCTCCTGCGGAAAGAGAAGAAAATTGAAGGATAAAAACTGAAATGACCGTCACCATCTGGCTGTGCCCATCAAGCAGCTGCTACTGTTTGTATCACATGAAAAAAAAATAATACACACTAGTGCTTCAAACCTCCTGTCTCCTCACATTTGCCATAAATTCCCACAAAAACGATTTTAAACAAATCTCTATTTATCAATACCATTTTTCTCCATGCATTCCAAAGCATTGTGTGACTTTTTGAAATTTTGACATCAAGGTAGCATGTGCAGCACTGAGATGGTAGACATACGTGCACGAGAATTCAGAAACGCGCTGTGCAAATCCACGATCTTTAAAAATGCCCTTTATTTGTGACAAATATGATCCAGGTTTTCATTTTTTAAAGATATAACAGTGAAGCCAGTGATTGTGAGTAAAAATGAAAAATTCATACCTAAAAATGTGAAAAAGAAAAAAAAAATTAAAGTTGTTGATGAGTGCTATGCGTTATAACTAATATGGTACGCCATTTATGTAGTTAAAATGTGGATTTTTTTTGGGGATGGAATTGTTAGGCTGAATCAAGAGTGATCCAGTGAAAGCTATCATGTACGGTGTACACCCCGTTGTTCCTCTAGTAACGAAATGAATTTAATAACAGAACACCAATCACCTAACAAATCCATTAGAGGGCATTTAGGCTCCCAAAGTCACATCAACATTACCTGCTCCCACTGTTTGTGCTCCATTAGAGCTCGGTAAAAACATCCAGAAGCTGCTAAAGCCCTCCAGTTCTGGCAAGCTCTCTCAGGAGCAGTTCCAGCAGCATGCTGCAGGCGAGGAGGAGGAAGGGGAAGAGGAGGAGGAGGAGGACGAGGAGGAGGGTGGCTGGACAGGACCCACCGCCAGCCTGCTGCACATCTCGGAGAAGAGACGTGAGTGGGGGTTGCGGGGGACAGATACTTTTAGGATAATTAAAATATATATATATATATATATGTATGTATTGTACATTTTTAAACATGTTATTGTTTTTAGAGTTGCAGTACCATGTTGTGCCACAAAATGTCTGGCAGCACTGAGCTGTAGATATAGATGTAGCGGAGTTAGGCGCAAGATGAAGAGGCAGGGAGGGTCCCTTACCAAGTTACAGTTGTTTGCACAGAACAATGAGAATATATGCCTGCGAATAATGTGGTACGCTGTGTTTGTTTGTGTGTTAAGGTAGTTGTTGTTTAAAGGTTCCTAATTATCATCTATGCTCATTTACAAGAGCCTGTCTATGGCTACTGGAAATGTACTGTATGTTTGCTTTAAGCTAACGGACTTTCATTACACGAAATCATATAGTTTGGTTGAGCATTTTAATATTAAAATATACTCTGTGTGTTAGTTTTATAGTCAAATTTCAGTGGGAGTGACAAACGGCTTGAAGCAAGCATGCTTTCCATCTTCTTCGGAGAACTGTGCGAGCAAGAAGTCTTCTTATATCAAAGTGAAACTATATAATAGTCTAACACTGTCCCCCATCAACATGGTGCCTCCTGGGAGCCCCCAAGGACCACATGAGTAGTCCTCCGCATTGTTGTAAAAATAGCTCACCACCAATGGGACATGATTTTCTCGAAATGTTGTAAGAGGGATCATTTGAAAATGTAAACACGAGGAGAGAGATACAAGGAGAGAGAAGAAGCTCCCAGTTTCAATAAGGTTGGCAATTGCTGGTCTATTATTTCTTAAAAGTGTGCTTAAATGTGATCAAAGAATGTGGGAGGGATATAAATGGTAATTATATGGTCTCTCGAGATTGCATTATCATCTATTACGGGCGATTCTGGAATGCATCGTTATAATTTAATTATGGAAGGATAATTACTTGAGCAGCATAACCAATCAATACAAAGTGTAAATCATAATAAATGAGGTGAGAAGCAGTCAATTGTGGCAAGAGTCTGGGTTTCAATATCCTCATATCACTGGTCCGAATGCACCACTGACTTACATTTTAAAACGTAATTCAGAGTCATAAAGTACCATTTTATCAAACGATCCTCCTCGGTCCTTGAAACCCCTTTTAAGTATTCTGATCCCACATTCTTGAGGATGGCCGTAGCACAGGCCAGAATGCTGAAGGGCCTCATTGTGCATCGGCGCACCACCGCGCTGAAAGCCGGGGCTACATGTGACAAAGCAGCTTTTATCTGCTTCACTAAGTAAACCGTTTTTCACTGCGACAGCTCATCCAGAGGCTAATGTCTATGACCCACTGGCTGCCCTTGCCACCTGGCAGGCAAGCACAACTCACCGTGCGTGCCTGGAGGCACGTCGATTCAATAATAAAGCAAACTTTACTCGCGCCGCAGTCATGCGCACATAAACCGGACCGCAATGGCTCGCTAGACGTGTGCAAGGATCCCGTAGAAGAGCAGGTTTGTTGAAGCAGATCCATTCTTTGCACAACGGGTAAACACCAGACAGACAAAAGTGGGTCTCATTTTTTGTTGCCATTGATTTGTAAAGTATGTCAAATTAGGTTTTAGAGGTAAACCTTGAATACTCAACCAAAGTAAGCAGATTGAGTCATATACTTTATGAATGCATATGAGCTTCTGAATAATTTTAGAAAAAGCTATTTATAATTTTCCCAGGTATACACTGATGCCTTGAGATACAAGTTCAAACTGTTCTGTGGCTCGTAACTTAGGGCATCCATCCATTCATCCATCCATTCATCCATTTCCAACAGCGCTTATCCTGAACAGGATCACGGAGAGTTGCTGGAGCCTATCCCAGCCAACTTTGGACGGAAGGCAGTGTACACCCTGAACTGGTCGCCAGCCAGTCGCAGGGCACATAGAGAGACAAACAACCATTCACATCCACTTACTCAACGTCACTGAGTGGGATCCGATCCCACGCTGCCCGCACACAAGTCTGGCGGGTGTACCACTACACCATCAGCGACTCAACTTCAGACAAATCATCTAATCATTTAAATGAATAGAAATGCAATTATTACATCCAGGCCTCCCCAAAGAAACAACAAACAAATCGTAATGCAGTTTCAATCAGGAAAATAGCACACTCTAATTTTACACTCATGATTAATTCAGTACCGATAGTGCGTGTGACTTGGTCATCCGGGGCAGTGTCATACTGTCATGCAAGCAAATATTAAGAAGACTTTCACGACTATATTATTAGCAAAGGATAAATAAATTGTCCCTCTACATGTATTCAAACATCAATCTCTTAAAAGGTTATTACACTGCCACATGGATGGTATTTGTTAACACATCTATAGCATTTCCCATAATGTGTTAGCATTAAGCTAACATACGGCAAGGTTCAGCTACGTGGTTGTTTTGAATACACCACTTGTAATTCTCTTTATGTTTAGTTTGATGGTAAACTTCAACCAGTAGCGGCATTAAGCAGCATGTAGCCTCATTTCTGAAGGATTGTTGATCTACCAAACTGCTGCTTGTTGTGACATGAGTTGAGTTCACTGCCACCATAGCGCTTGGACCTCAAACCTTTGCTCCTGAGTCAAAGTCTAAAATTGGACGACGGCTATAGAAATACTTGTGAGTCGGGTCACTTGTATGTCAAGGCACCACTGAATGAGCGGTTGTTCGAAGGGGGATTGATGACCTCTCAGTATGGTTGGACCACTAAAGAAAGAAGCCAGTCGCTTTCTAAGAGCTTTACTATTCACGCCTCCTCGGGGACCTTCTATACTGTCATAAATATTAAAACACTGAACTTTAATGGATGAACATGATTTTCTTTACTGTGAATTTTTGGATGAAACCAAGCGTCATTATATTTTAGAGAACCGAGAGGCATTTTCTTTACTCACATTAAAAACATGAATATTGAATAGAGTGTGGGATCAAAGGCACACTGGCAATAGTGGAAATGTGTCACACCCCCATTTGACTGCGGGCGACTACAGCTTTACATCATGTGTCATTTCACGCACGCACACATGCGTGCGCGCGCACACACACACACACACACACACACACACACACACACACACACAAAACAAAGAGGCCATTTTTCTGTCTGGAGGAGAAAGCCTTGTGATAAATTATTTAAGGAGAAGACGGGTGGGAAAGAAACAAGGATTAAAAAAAAAGAAAATAAATAAATAACAACCAAGCATTGCACAAAAGGAAGAGGCAGGGGAAAAAATGGTTGCATTCCCATCATTCCTCTGTCATTTTCATCACTTCCTCCATTTACTTTTTTCATTTCTCCAGCATCCCCTCCCTTTCATCTTTGTTTCATCTCCACATGTCGTCTTCCTCATTGTTGCCGTCACTACTCGACATTCTCAAGTCCGGGCTGGAAGCGCGCTGGACTGATCAAAGCTCAACATTACAATCTTTTATGAGGAGACGAGAATATCAGAACTGAACCCCCGCATGAGAAGACTTCCCTGTGCATCGTCACAGAGACTGAAAAGCCAAATGAGAGAGCTACCACCTTGTTTTCTTTTATCCCACAGTTGTCATGCTGCTGTTGTAGTGTTCGTTATGTCTTCTTCTTGTAGCATTACCGCATCCACGAGCCGCCTGGAAATGGGAAAGATAACGCCTTGTTGCACAAGCCTTTTTATTGCCCACGCACGTCTGTGAAGGCTTTAATCCAGATTTGGCAGGCAGGCTGAGTCGCGTGGAAACACAGACTGGCTTCCATCTGCCTCGGCACGTCCTCCAGACGTCTTTCACTCTTGTTGAGCTATTAAGCACACAACTAAGAGGGACATCAACACACTCGAGTTCAGGTCAGCAGGTCATTGACTTTGGACCTGACGGCTGGTGAGGTGCCTTTGTTCTAGTTCATCTCAAAAGGGTTGACGTCAGGGCTCTCTAGTTCTTCCGCCACCAAAAATTCTTCCACAAATTGGAAGCATAGAATTGTCTAAAATATCTACAACAGCTGCATGAAAACTGTGGGCTAAAAGAAATACATGTATAACATTTAAGTTCAGTGTATAGTGAACTGGCTTGAATATCGACAAGACGAGAGTTTTTTTGCTTTGGGGGACTGTCTAAGCCTCCTAAGACAGGGGTCCCCAACCTTTTTTGCCCCACGGACCGGTTTAAGTCAGACAATATTTTCAGGGACCGGCATTTAAGGTGTGGCGGATTAATACAACAAAATAATATGGTATGAGCTGCATGAAAACTGTGGTGTTTTCGAAATATAATAATAAACACAAGGAGCGTCTAATCTGGTCGCAACACTCTTATCGCTCTGGTAATGTTTAATGCCTTCAAAATACGATACAACGCAAATTCAAAGTGCATGAAAATGACGACTCACCACAGCCCTGAGCTTGATTTTCTGCAATCAGACAGTCCCATCTCGGAGTAATAGGAGACAATGACACCTCAAGTGTGTGGTTTATGTCCAGTCTACTTCGTAATTTTGTTTTAGTCGCTGTTGCTGCAGAAACTCCCCACCTCACACAGGTAGGATGTCGGAAATAGCAACAGTGCTATTGTGGCGATCTCAGAGTATTCAGACATAACTTTGATCCAGTTGTTTCGAACGTAACTTTTAAGGCCGCCGTCATTTGCGATCTCCAAGCAGCTTTTTTACTCATTTTGCGGGCTTCAGCATTTTGTTTTTGAGCGTCGTCGGTCACGTGACCGAGAAGTGTAGTTTGACGTGAGTCAAGCGTGACACAGACGGATGTAACAGAGAATCCGGTAATTTTTCAAAATAAAACATCTTTCGTATTCCGAAATAAATAAAACGGAAATAAGGCAAGTTATTTCTGTGCGGCCCGGTACCAAATGCCCTGCGGACCGGTACCGGTCCGCGGACCGGCGGTTGGGGACCGCTGTCCTAAGACACACATTTGAATACAGAAAGATGGAGGGGGGACTTTCCAGGTCCATTTTGAGAGTCAAGACTGGAATGACAAGTTTTAAAAATGCGCTATTGACTGTTTCTTTCTCACCTCTAGAACCTCTGAGCAGCGTGTCCTCCTTGGAAGTCCATTTTGACCTCCTAGATCTGACCGAGCTGACCGACATGTCGGACCAGGAGCTGGCTGAAGTCTTTGCTGACTCTGATGAGGAGAACCACAATGAGTGTCCACCAGGTGGGATACATACAAAGCAACAAATCACATGACTACATGACTGGTCCAGCACTTTGACACATAAACATACTCAATAAGCCACTTGAAGTGTCACAATTTGCTGGTTGTCCCACTATCTAAGATAAGGCAATTGAGAACAGATTCTCATTTGTTGTGCTGACCTGGCTGCAGACAGCAGAGTGAAACTAAGTATGATGAAAATACTGTATAGAAAATCAATTTGCTATGTGGCAGGAGAGAATTCTTTTTATGATGCCACAATGTTGGGAGCTAATAGAAACAAAAGACCAAATAGCATTTATGGGAATTCTTGACACTGAGGAGTACTTTATGGTAAGCAGAAAGTTGAAAGTATTTGTAATTCTGATATACTGTACCGGCAAATTCCTCAACACAAGCCGATGAAAGTTTTAGAATACTTGAACGATTGAATGCACATGAGGAGACATCCCGGCTCAAGGACTCATCGACAATCCTATGAAATGATACGGATGTATTGTACCCATCAGTGATATCGAAATAACTCCTCCATGTAATGAACAGAATAAGAGGGAATCTTTCCTTCCGGCTTCATGCATATGCATGATGGGGAAAGGTGCATGGGAGACCATCCTGCTTGCGCTTCACAGCAGCGGGTGCGTGAAAAGACCGTCCACATTTTTCTAAAGGAGGCGAAAATGTGCCCTATGTTTTATTCATGACCCGGATGCCTCATCCTGCATGCAGACAGTGAACGCCCGCCTGCTGTTGACACCCAGCAGCCTCCCTCTACCACCACATCATTATGTAAAATTAAGAGGTGAAAATGTTCATTATTATTGGAAAAACGATTGATGAGATAAGGAAGACGTTTGTTCAGATTTTAATTATAGCATTACTGCCACCTAGAGGACTGGAGTGGGGTTCGCGAACGTGGCTTCCAATACCACAGTAGGGTTTCTATGTCTGACGTTTTTTTAATTTTTATTTTTAATTACTTTGTTTTTGCTTAGGTGGACGACTGTGCTGTACTGAGTGCTCTTGTCACCTCAGGTGGTATGGGCTAGTTCGTTCAGCGCTAGCTAACACTGCAGCACTGCTCACCTTTTGGCTTTGATGTGATGGTGCCTCGTTTGCGGCATCCAAGTGTATCTTTCAGTCTGGAACTTTGGCCAGCTGAGCGTCCAATTCATAGGCTGAGAAACATGGCCTTTGAGGTTGTTGGGGTTGGAAGCTTTATGGCCAGCGTTCATTTAAGGATGTTCACACAGTAGCACGAAAAGGACATTGCTTTGTTTATTTCCTCACCATTTTCCTATGTTCTGTTTTATTACACTTTACAGTGCTGCTTGTTAAGTGTGAGGTATTTTCCCGGTGGGCTGTCCGTAGCGTTTTAAATGTGTTATACAACATCCACTGCAGATGAACATTTGGAGTGGTTGTGTGATGGGGAGAATTAGAGACAAAAAACAAAAGTGTGGACAACTCAGGCAGGTCGGAATCACACAAGTTCAGTCATTTCAAAATCTTTTCCAACGTTAATTGTGACCTGTAACCTGGAAAACACCAATGAAATGTTTTTTGCAAAAATCTTTTGAAGAGGAGAAGTAAAAATAACCAACTCAAGTGAGCACACTCGCTTACTGAATTAATAAATCCCATTCAAACCTCTCTGAACTGGAAGTCAGACCACACCTGCCACCATTTAAAGTGCCTCTGATTAACCCAAAATAAATTTCAGATGTTCTAGTAGGCTTTTCCTGATGTTTATTTTCAGCCTGCTAAATGTGGAAAGAATTGTGAACAGTTCAATATTGTCAGTGGTAGTGCAAAACTTTTAGGCTTCTGCTCGAACGCAAATAAGTCTCAGGAAAAGCCTCCGAGAGCACCTGAACTTGATTTGGTTAATCAGACGCACATTAAATGGTGTTTGCTGACGCCCACTCAACATAAGTTTGAATGTAACATATCAGTTATAAGAAGGTGTGCACACTTGTGCCATCATAGGATTTCAGGTGTTTATTTTTACCTACAATTGCCTTGTATAGGTTAGCGTTCACATTAATGGTGGAAAAAGCTCAGAAATGATTTATCTTGGTCTCAAATTTTTTATATCACAAAAACAGGGCATTTAAACAGGGGTGTGTAGACTTTCTATATCCGCCATTAGTGACTCAAATCCTTTTGCTGCGAACCACTGTTACAATGTCATGATGATGATGATGATGATGTCATTAAATTAGATCCAGAGCAATAGAGGATAAAATTAAAGCCCAATACTTGTTTTGTCAATGCAAAACGGCACAATCTGTTTCTATTAGTTCAAATGCCAACCTCCAAACGAGCTACTTTTTAAAAGTAAAAATAGGTCAGCCCTTGAAATTTCAGCAAACTTTCCTTTCTTATCAGAAGCCAGTGACATTCTGACTTTTGATGTGTCGTTTGTCTTTGTCATTGTGCTCCCAAATGTCACTGACGTTTACCAGTTTGCCTCCCCCGCACACGAACATCCCAAAGATTCAGTCGCTAAGTTGGTCTCCTTGATGTTTCACCTCCCTCATTTATTTCCATTTCCTCCTTCAATGACTGAGTAATCATGGTGAAAGTTTTAAAAAAAGAATTCTGATGATAATTGCAAAATGTTCCGAAAGTCGCTGGAACACATCCTGAGGACACCACGGAGTTTCTTGATGTATTTTAAGTTGAACATCAACAAGGGCATTTTATCTTTTGTCATGTTGGTGTTATGGAACCAATTTTGTGACCACTCCCTGACTTTGTGCAGCTGGTTTGAGGCCATGTGACAGAAGAGCAAGATGTTAATTCTGGAGAGAGGGGGGTGGATGGGTGAGTGAGTTCAATGCTAAATGTGGGCTCCCTAAATAATTCATGATTTCCCTGACTGAAACAAACCATCTTACTTGAGGAAAAACACTCAAACAGCTCTTATATTGTTTAAGAGACTTGGTAGGTTTGTTTGTCTTTATTGCCATTTTCTTTGTGCTTTGTAGGATTGAGGAGGTATCAGGATATAAAGTCAGTTTAGCACAGTGGTAGAACAACTAGCATGCATATATATATA